AGAGAGAGAGAGAGAGAGAGAGAGAGAGAGAGAGAGAGAGAGAGAGAATTGATTTGGAGACTCTTGGTGCTGGACCCCAGAGCTTTCCCTACTGTTGCAAGTGTTCCCTATTCTAGCTTGGGAGAGGTTTGCAGGTCAGCTCTACCGGATTTTGGCATTGCTAGTGTTGACAATACCTTTTTCTGTCACATAGAAGCCAAGTGACGTTTTGAGCTAGAAGCAAAGCAAACTGAATTGCTGGGCGGAGCCTCTTATTCAGGCTCAATCCAAAATCTCGTCTTAATTTTTTTCATTACGCATTTGTCTTATTCTTTAAGGAAAATGCTTAAGGCAAAGTTAGCACATCGATTCACTTCCTGATTTTATATTTATTAATGCCTACGAGGTACCAGGCAGCAAGGTTCTAATATTGTAAGGAAAAAAAGGCCAGAACCACTGCTTCTCTGAAAGTTCATTTCCTAGTGGAAAAAGACAGAAAAACTTGTTAGGCAAAAGCACGGCTGTTAACATATAAAATTACAGTTTCACATATTTCATAATTCTACTTTGAAATAGCGAACAATGGCATGCCATCTTACAGCTTAAATCTCAGAGGCGATTTCATGTGTGGGTAACTTCCACATGGTCTCACCTTACGGGCACAGACTTTTCCCTATCCTATTTCAAGGACCGAGCCTGAGGTACAGAATGGGTTGTGAAAGTCTGGTGTCACCGACTCCTTAAGTGCTCTGACAAAGTGATTAGGATGGGCAGAATCTCAAACCACAGACCCATGGGCCACAGGGGTCTGGAATAACATTGGTAAAAATGTAATCATCGAGGTTAATGCCTGATGTTCTTTTATTTTATTATTTAATTAATTTCTTTTACATCCTGACAACAATGACTGAAGTTTTAATGGAGGCACAATCAGACACCCCACTCAGGCCGTTTCCCCCCAGTCTTACTAGACTTTGCCTCTCAAGGTGATAAAGCCTAAAGAAATCCTGGGGGTAACACATGGCCAGCAGGATTACACTGACAGCACCTTCTTCTGACTCGTGAACTGTAGTGAAGGAACATCCCAGCAAGTTCCAGGCCATGTACTTCCATCTTTAAAAAGAGTAAGAGAAGGATTACTATAGGTGTTAACCTAGACCAATGATCCAGAATCCTGCCTTGTATTGGTATTTCAATTATAGTTTAATAAATAAAGACTGTCTGAAGATCTGAGAATAAAGCAGTCCCTCTGGTTAACCTTACAGACCAAGTTATGGTAACACACACATTTAATCCCAGTAGCCACAATAGTTGCCATAGAAATTGAGCAGTGCATTCTTTTAATGACTCTTTTAATCCCAGTCCTAGAAAGGAATATAAGACGGGAGAAAACAGTTCTTAGACACAGACTTCTTCTGAGATTCCGGGAGGCAGGATCACCGTTTCGGACTGAAGTCTTGGTAAGAACCAGTGGGTACTTGTTTTGCCTTTCAGATATTCAGGTTAAACTCCAGTTTTATCAACCTGAACTTTTATTAATCGGGCATCACTCCCTCCTAAAAGATGAGAGTAGAGCTCCCAGGCCAGCCACACACAAAATTATTTTAAGATATTAACAAGGAAGCAGAATACAGTCTCACCATTGCTCAATTCACAGAAAAAAGAAAAATGTACTCACAGCACAGATGCCACCTGTAGGCATATTCTTCAAAAGAGTTAAAATAAATTGATAAATTCATGGAAACTTTGGAAAACTATTAAAAACTAGAAAACTGGGGGCTGGAAAGATGGCTCAGAGGTTAAGAGCACTGACTATTCTTCCGGAGGTCCTGAGTTCAATTTCCAGCAACCACATGGTGATTCACAACCATCTTCTGACCTGCAGGCATACATGGAGGCTGAACACTGTGTATATAATAAATAAATAAATCTTTTAAAAAAAACTAAAAAGCCTTGAAATGACCACACGAAAGAAACATTTAAAGCACAGCAAAGGCAGAAAAGTGACAAAACCCAAAACCTCCAGAAATGACCCAACTGGGAAGATAACATACTGAATATTATTCCAAAAGAAACAGGAGTGGGGAAAAAAAGATAAAAAGCAAGACATAAAGAAGGTGAGAAAAAAAATAATGAAAAAGTGACGATTAGAATAAGCAAAGATTATCCAATTTATATTACAGGAACCCCCAAAGAAGAAAACCAAATAAACAGAGAACAGGAAAAGTTAAATCTACAAGTCAGGAAAGCTTTTTTGGAAAAAAAATCAGGCTTATATTAAAAGAGAAAATACTTGCAAAAATTGGTTCAAAAAGCCAAACTAAGACAGATTTTATTAAACATAATAATCCTGTGGGTAGCCAAACTAAAAAACAACCCATATGTTAGAAAAATGAAAGCCTCATTATTAGTTCTTTCAAGGGCAATGTGCTAGACAAAAAGTAATGACCTAATGTAATTAAAATACTTCAGGAAATAAGGCAAACACATGCTAAATTCACCTTTAGATGTAAGAAGTTTGGCCAGGCTCTCAGGGGCATCAGTCTTGTGAGTCTGCAGGAGAGATCCATGGGGAATGTGAATGGAATGAGCACAGACACAGGAGGGGCCTGGATGTCAAATAAGCACGGATGAGTCCCACTCAGGGGATGGGCGATGGAGCGTGGTGGACCAGGGATACATCCCACAGGCAGAAGGAAACAGATGAAGTATAAAAAAAAAAAAGTGACTCCAGGAAACATGGCACTAGATATAAAAGACAAAACCAAGGAACAGTCTGGCAAACTCCTCCATGTGGAAAGTTGTCTTGCTAGAGACATTTTACAGAGGATTTGGAGGCTGAACAAAATTGTATCAGTTGTTGAAAGCAGAGTAGGAAATGGAAGATAATGCACAAATTTTTATTTACTTTTACTTTGGGGGATTATAATTACATCATTTCCCCTTTGACGTTCCTCCCTCAAAATCCTTCCATATATCCCTCCTTGATATTTTTCAAATTCATAGCCTCTTTTTTTCATTAATCATTGCTACATGCAGCATATATATGAATAAATGTCTGTATTCCTAACCAGCGCAGTCTGTTACTTGTATGTGGATTTTCAGGACTGTTTGGCATTGGATCGCCAGCTGGTGCCCTCTTCCTTGGGAAAGACTGTCTCCCACTCTCAGAACTCCTTGGTTGTCTGTAGTTCTCTGTATAGGTTTGAGTCCTGTGCTCTTTCTCCAGTTCACCTTGGCATGTCTATTGCTGTCTTTCTTGTTCAGTTCATGTTTAGGCAGTCACGTTGGTGAGATTTTGTGGGTATAGCTTCCAATACTACTAGGGGACACAGCCTCACAGCAAATTCCCTGATCCTGAGGCTCTAGGAGTCTTTTTTTGCCCCCTCTTCCTCAATGTTTCCTGAGTCTTAGCGCTGGAGTGTTTTGAAGTTGTATCCACTGGTACTGGATTCCACCCACTGCATTCTGATTGGTTGTGGTTCTCAGTAGTATTCTATATATCTGTTGCAAAGATGAGTTTTCTTTGTTGGATGATACCAACTAAACCTATCTGTAAGTATAAGAAAGAAGGCATATTTAGAATGTAGTTAGGGATTATGCTAATTTAATAAAGTGATTAAAACAATTATTATTTCCAGCATAAGCAGAAAGTTATATGGGGGCATAAATATTATCAATATATCATAGTGATATTAATTTCTTACGTATAACTTGATCTATTGATGAATAATATTTACATAGTCATAATTTAGAGGTAGTGAATGCAACTATGAAGCAAAAATAAGATAAATTATGTTTGGGGAGTAATGAAGGAGAAAAAATAGGATAATTAAACTAATAGTTCATGACGTAAAAAGTAGATAGATAGTGAATCAAGACGTAAACGTGTTATGGTTTGCTGTTGAATGGTCTTCCATTGGTTTGTGTGTTTAAACACTTGGTCTCCAGCTGATGGGCGCTGTTTTGGCAGGTCGTGGAACCTTCAAGGTGGATTCTCTGGAAGAACTGGGTTGTCCCCCCTCCACTGCCGCCTCACCTCCTCAGCCCTCTTTCTTCCTGACTGCAGGGAGAATGTGATGGCTGACTTGAGTTCCTGCCACCAAGCCCTCCCCACCGGGATGGACTGAGCCCAAGAAACCCTCTCCTCTTAAACTGTCACTTGTCAACAACGAGAAGCATAACCAACAAAGATTATACTATACACATTGGTGAAAAGCAGAAACAAAGTCTTCAGAAGCAACATTTCTTGGGAAGAGGGAGGAAAAGGTTGGATAAAGGGCCGATGTTTTTGTTATGAGCCTTTTAGTTTTATCTGACTTTTAACTGTTTTGCAGGTAAGCTTTGGTAGTGCATCTTAAAAATCTTGAGAAGCTCAAAGCCTCCACTGAGCTGCAAGCCAATTCAGGTTTAGTGCCATCCACATGTGGGTCCACACCTCTGCTGATGAGAGACCTCTCTAGGCATTCTGTTTTACCTTTGATTGTTCATCTTTGCTTATGGACATGGAGTCTTCAAGTTCCTTCCAAGTCTTATCAAGAACCATTGACTCCCTGACTAACAGGGATAGAAGTCCTGGAACAACTAAGAGATCACTACCCTTGTTTGTCCCAGAAAACTGAGGCTGGCCAGCTTTGCCCTTAGTGTCGGTGTCTGAACTGACTTTTTTTACCCGATTATGTTTTTTTTCTATGGCTACAGAGGGATGCTCCCAGGAGTTCAAATTGGTCTGGCCATCTTCCTGAGCTCCTGTATCCCACCCTGCAACCTCTCACTTTGGTTTTAAGCATTGCTGGGTAGAGGTCTGTTGATGGGAGCCAGTACCATTTACCTTGCCCTCTGCTGCCCTCTGCTGCCAATAGCTAGTCTTTTCTGTTCGCCCTTCCTACCCTGGCCCCCCTGGTCACAAAAAGAAGTTTGTGGGAGCACAAGTCTCCTGAGAAAATCCTTTGTTTCCCCGCAGGAGTGCACCTGTGGACTTGTGACATTCCACATTGACTAGCCCCTACCTGTTAGAAATGCAAACTCTTGTCCCTCCTCTCCCCCGTTTATTGAGTGAGAATCTGCTATTTCAACTAGATCCCTAGTGATTCATATGCTCCTTAACATTGTTGTAAGCTCGGACTCAACCAAAGGTTAGGAAAGAATTAAAGGCCATTTCCGTGGCCACTCTAATATGCATTCTAGTCCTGTTTGTTGGTCACGTGAATTGTGTACCAGATGCTTTCCACAAGAGAGACGGCCATCTGAAATCACAGAGGACAGAAACTAGCATACACGGAATCTTAAGACAGACAAAACACCCACATTGAAAGTGTGGATTGGGGCTAGAGAAATAGCTTCCGGCTAAGAGCTCTTTTTAGAGGACAGGGTTCGATTCCCCACACCCACAAGGTAACTTACAACCATCTGTAATATAAGTTCCTGAGAATCTTCTACAATTTCTGGTCTCTGGGCATGAGGTGAAAAAAGTACCCGTACACATAAAATAAATAAACTAACTAAGGGATGCTGTAAGCTCTCACCCAGGAGATTGCATACCGATTTGTACATGTCTATTTGTGCCTGCAGAAGCACAATTGGTTATTTCCAAGAGGTTTTCTGAAGAGAACTTACTCAATGGCAGGTCATAAAAGCCTAAGCAATTGATTGAGTGTCCAGTCTCTTAGCACTTTCAACAATCCACCAGTAACACAAAGTCTGAGATGCTTGATCCTTCAGCTCAAGACTAAGTCATTTTCTAGAAAAAAACAAAAAACAAAAGCAACAACGACAACAACAAAACCAAGCACTGTTTGTTAGGGAGACATCTTTTGGTTGCAAATGTCTTGGTAGCCCACTGGTCTTCTTTGAATTCTATTTCTTCCACCCACAAATATAGGAGTAAGTGGAGAACCATATTCTGAGGAACAAACATCATTTATTAGGAGAATTTAGACAAGGGTTTTGGCACCATGCCACTCAGTGGAGTGTTTCAAATAGAACAAGACTTTCTCCCTGAAGGCAACATCTGAGTACTCCTGAACTTTCACTTTCTGAAAAAGATAATAAATACAGTAAAATTGTGAATTTCTGTAAACATTCTGGCTGTTTTGTCCCAAGAGATTTCTCTTTGTGCCTTTTTTTGTGTGTATTGCTTTCTGTGTGTCTGTGTACAAGAAAGAAGCGTGCCTTTGTTATGACAAGTGGTGACGGCTGCCTTTGGGTTTTATATGCACCATAACTTCCTCACAGAAAGGCGCTTGTTTGTTGGAGAAAAGAGTTTGCAGAATAAAACCAGGTGACATTGAAAGGACTGGGGACAGCGACTGCGTCTATATTGAGTATGTTTAAAATGTCCTGTTTTCTAAGCCCCGCCCGTCATATAGCAAATGAAACTTTGAGAGCCATATTCACAACCTCATTAAAATTCAGAGTTGAAAAAGTCTTTCCAAATTTATGTTCTGTCCCTTACTCCCTTCTTGCCTTGGTTGAGTTTAGGAAATCAGAGAACACCAGAGAAGAAGGAAACAGAGTGTGGGGGAGAGAATGACGTAGAATGAAGGGTTTAAATTGAAAGAAACTCACTGATTTAATTACACTGAAATACAGGCCAAGAACTAAAATAGTGTTTGGGAAAAATAAAGAATTGTAGCTTTTTGTACAACCTATTCTTATTGTATAACCTGCAAAATGTGTGTATACACATTGACTGAATGGAACCAGAACAGCCTCTTGCTCACCATGACTCCCTAAGAGAATATTTATGTGAGAGACTTTAAAACGTTCTGGTAAGTTTTTTGAAACAGGATCATCTCCAAATGTACCTCATATTTATCTTTGGAAATGTCAAGGCTGGATGGTTTACATTAGCTGTTCCCTTAGGGGAAAAAAACCATAAAATTTTTCATCTGGCAGTGGCAAATTTTGTAATGCCCAAATCTGATACTTACTTGGGATATTCAGTGTTTAATACTGGGAAACTGTGGGGCACATCTAGAAATGTGGTATAGTCCTCACATTCTAGGTGTGTGTGTTACAAATATGTGTGTGTTCTATATGTATTTGTGTCCATACCTTACTTTGAGCTGAGAAGAAAAAGCCTTGAAACCAAGTAGTTCTGGTGGTATTCTCCACTAATGTCTCTAGATGTTCCAATAAAAGGCCTGTTGACAAGACTGAGGGAAAATTGGCCATGGATGACATTGCAGTGAGTATGTCATGATAGGGTAGGATGGTGAAGGAAGTTTTTTTTGGCTTTATCCTTTGGGACTGTGGACAGGACAAGGTCCCATGCCAAACCACATGAGGGAAGAGTCATTCCATTGGAAGACTTGCTCTTTATTGCTTTTGACTTTCAGTGAATCTAATTCTAGACTTGTTTGGCAATTTTCATGTCTGTCAGAAAATCTGTGCCAGTTTAGCTTCCTAATTATTGCCATGGAAACACTATTTAATATTTTTATTTATTTTGAAGCACTCTTTATTTAATTTTGTTAAATGAAAAGAACTTTCCCCCAGCTATCTTTCCCTTCTATCAGCTGTGCTTTCTAATCTATTTGATATGTTGGGTCTGTAGAATTTCCTCATTCTTAGGAGGCAAGAACTAGATCTTGAATTGTTGCCAGTGGCAACCATGACAAAAAGTATGCAAGAATAGAAAGAAATTGGAAAATGGCTGTGAAGAAGTTTAATAATTACCAGTTTGCATGCTCAATCTAAAAGTAATACTGCCTAAAATTGTTCTATAATCACTACTTTCCTTGCTTCCTTTCTGATGGATTGTTTTCCTCCATGGGCTCTGGAGCCCTCCTACCCTTCTCAAAGCATATGGAAGAAGGGGTGCAGCTCATACCAGAGCTCCCTGATAGGGCAGTAATTGTAACCCAGATTCTGACCAGTGCAACCTGGATTGTTGTTATTTCTAGAAGAATGTTTCTAACTCTTCAGTACAGCATCTTCCCTCTGATCCCCAGCTTTCTGGCTATTCTCGCCAGTGTGCCATTTCCCCTGTAGTTTCTTTTCTCATAGCTTTCTTGGTTTCCCAGTGGCTAGCATCTTCTTTCCTCTAACACAGTAGTTTTTCACACATACTTTGTGTTTCGTAATGTGCTCTCCCCATGAGCCTCTTGGCATTGCTTTGTTCTTGAATCTTTCAAGTAAACAGCGATGTTATATAGTTCACAAATCTCACCTCCAGTCAACAATCGACCCTGTTCTCCTTTTACCCTTGGAAGGAAATTGATTTTTGACAGCTATTTTTTTTGTTTCCCTCACATATATTCAAAGCAACTGTTGTTCTGTTTTGAAGGATGCCTTTACACTTTTTGTAATTTCAGGTTCCTGACCCCAGCCCCAGATCCTCTCTTATGTCACATTCTTGATTAACTATTTGACCTTTATTGTGGCCCAAATACCTTAAAAAAATAAGTTCTTTCTTAATCTCTCAAAATTTAAAATTAGAGTTACAGAGCAAGCCATCATGTAGGTATTGGGAATGGAATCAAGAATTCTATTCGAAAGAATAGTCAATGTTCTTAACCATGCAGAGTCATCCGTAAGGCGCTACCAAAGTATGATGAATAAAAGCTCAGGGTCAGAAATTGGGTTTCCACTTGAAGATCCAAAAAACAAAACAACCAGCCACTGGTTCTTACCTTCACCTCAGTCTGAAATGGCAATCCTGCCCCCTGAAATCTCAGAATGAGATTGTATATTTCCTCCCATTTTATAATCCTCTCTAGGGTTGGGATTAAAGGTGTGCATCTTTTGGAACACATTCTTTAGGCATCAAACCAAATCCCCTTAATAACAAATGAAGCCGGAGAAGAAGAAAACAAAGCAAGCAAACAAACAACAACAACAACAACAACAACAACAACAGCAACAACAAAACAATAAAGGTCAAATAGTTCATCAAGAATGTGACACATGAGAGGATCTGGGGCTGGGGTCAGGAAGGTGAAGTCTTTGGACTGACTGTGACTTTGTAAGTGGGCTGATGAATGTCTCTCAATTTCTCTCCCTAGTTTTCACAAATCATACTAAGGGAGTCAAAACTGAACAGATTTTAGCAAACATACTGACTAAAAAGAATACAATATAAACACAATCTACCGGACAAGATGAATCAATCCAACAGGGAAGAATGGGGGACCCAGATGAGTGAGTGAGAGTCCTCTTTGTGTTTCCTGGTGAAACATCAAGGATGAAGACTGTTAGTAACAGATGGCTTGAGCCTGGGCTGTCTCCCCCATCCCCCGGACGCATGTTTTTAGTGCTTAGTCTCTGGTTGTGGCACTAGTTTGTAAGCTGGGCATCCCTTAGGGAGGGGGCCTGGACGGCAGTGACCAGTGTCTGTGAAAACCATCCCTTTTTCTGGTTCTGACTGGCCCTCTCTGCTTCCTGTCACAGGTCATATGAAGAATTCTCCCATGTTTTCACACTAGTGACAGCTGTTCACACGGCCAAGCCTTCTCTGCCGTGATGGATGGAAGTCGCCCTGACACTGTGAGTTAGAGATGGTGTCCAAGTGTCGAGGGTCCGCCTCTGTTACTCCCCATCTCTTCTGTTGTCTCCTTGGGGCTCATAGTTTCCTATTGAGTCTGAAAACCAACAATCACCATCCATCTTCCATCTCCTCCTCACTCTGAAGCTGGGTTGTAGTCCTGTATGGGATGCCTAGCTTCTTCTCTGGGTGCTGGCAAGTGCTTTTCTCTGGTAAGCCTTCTCTCCAGGCCCCTAATGCTTTTGAGACTTAACAGGTAAAGCTACCTGGAACCTTCCTGACATGGGTGGTTCCTGAATGGGCCCCACACCCTGCCATTTCCAACAACAAGATCCCTGCTGAGCTTGAAGTTTTGTCCTCTCTAAAACTCATTTTGCAATTTAACTCCCATTGTAAAGATTCAAAAGAGGTGAGACTTTGAGTATGCATGCTTTGGGAATGGAGTCTTGGCTTTTTTGGTTTCTGCCATGTGAAGGGCTTCCCTCCATTTGGAGGACACAATGTACCAGGTACCAGGTCCACTAGAATCTTGGCCTTAGATTTTTTTCCAGCTTCCAAGATTTAAAACCACTACATTTCTGCCCTTATGAACTGCTGTCTCAGACATTCTGTTACTGCGGCCCAGAAAGAATGAAGGCAGTTGGCTGGTGCTGCAGCACATACTTTAAGGAGAAAGAGTGGGTCAGTTGGAAAATCTGGTACAACAGGAAATCATAAAAAAAGGTGCATAAAATACTTGTGTAGAGGTGTAGTCATTTAATAGTCTTGATGTAGAGCCAGGACTTTTTCTTTATGATACAATTTTGATGAAGTATGTCTTTAAGTTTCTGCAGCTCTAAGAATTTCCAGGTTTTATAGTTTTCCCAGTTTTATAACAGAACCTTTAGCACCTAATTTACCAAGTGTATTCAAAGCGATTAGTTTTCATAGAAGCAAGTCATCATCATTTTTCATCCATATTTTGATCTCATAATATTTAGCCAGATTATGAAATTGTCATAACAGAATTATCCTGTATAAATATATTTGAAGAGAAATACATTAAATTCTTGGTAATCAAGTAACAAGGGAGGCAGGATTGTGTGGATTTGTTGGCTTTGCGCGTTCAGTTAGCCCTGGGCCTTCCTGGACGTGTTTTAAGAGGAAGTATCTGTTAACTGGGGTAGTGGATAATGGAGTTCAGAGAGCATGACTGAAAGACAGCATAGGCTAAGGAGTCATCTCTCTGAGGATTTGTCTGTGTGCTTTGCGTTGATAAAAATCCAAGAACAAAAGAAGACAAGGCTGGAGGTATAGAATCTACTCCTTTAGATGTGGTATCTTGACTTTTCATGAGGCCTGAGCATCAGTTGGTTCCAGACTGTGTCCTCTGGCAAGATCTTTGAAAAAGAACAGTCCTGGGAATCTCCTGGGAAACCTTCCTGGTTCAGAGGAAGCTTTGCAAATGATACCTGCAGACTTGTGGTTTTGGAAGCTCTGGATGATGTGGAACAGGGTGATTTGTACTGAATCCGTAGAACTT